AAAATGTCATCTGTGGAAGCCGTGGCGCTGTAAAAAGCACGACCAATCATCTGAGCCGGCCCGGCTAAAGTAACTGGATGGCCTACCTGCCTGTCAGCCTTCCATCTGTGCACAAACTTATCTCGTGCCCTGATTGGTCATGTGCGCGTTCGTGTGTGTTGGAGGAGGGGCTCTGTAAGGAAGTCTGAAGGAAGGGGCAGATTTCTTTCGGCTGCGTACTTTCAAATTCTAGCGCACTCGAGCTGGTTTCTCCATTCTTACCTACCCTACCTTTAAGTGCTTTTAAAATGTTTTTAAATGTGGACTTTCAAACTGCAAAAGGTTACCTATAAAGTTAAAAAAATGTCATGTTCAAAGGCTGTATCCAAAATAAATAAGAGTAGCATCTTTACAAATGCAAAAAGTGATCCTTTTCATTTTCTATAAGCACTAACATGATGTTCATTTTTGTTTTTAGTGAAATATCTCAACAACTATTGTATGAATCGTATGAATGTAATTTGATAAAAACATTCATGTTTCTTTCAGGATAAAAGTAGTAATATGGTTTATAATAACTTTGGTGACAATGTGATTTAGCAAAAACTCTTCAAAGTTTTATTTGTCCAACTTGAATAAATACACTTGCATGCTAATGACATTCCCATCAGCTTTAGTTAGCTTTGTGTTTAGTAAAATATAACGAGTAAATAAGACACCTGGACACATGCACGAAAAATGTAATAACATTTATGGAAGACCAAAATATAAACTCTTTGTTACAAGAACAAATTCGAATGGTGGCAACATCAAGTGAAGCTCTGGAGCTCAGGTGGTGTTGTTCTGCCAGCGTTTGAATCAAAGCTGCATTTTGGACTTTTCAAGCCAATTAATACTCACGTAGTCATAAAATATCAGTTCCCACTAATAATAGTAAGTGTACTAGTAGGTTCAATGTGGAAATACAAAAGTAAACTCTAAAGAAAATACAGTAACCACAGCTGGTCCAAAAGTGCAAACACATCATTACTAGGTTTTAGTAACTGGCACAAAACAGACTCAAACTAAGGGAAACTTGGTTTATCATACCTCGGAGGCAGGTTCATTCTCTTTCAACCAAACACACAATAAATACGAGGAACCTGTTTGCTCTCTTAACTTATTACCCACATAAGTTAGTATTGCTGCTTTAAATTAATAGTATTTCCATCAATCAGTGTCTCGAGGGCTTCCGTCTCAATCTGTGAAGCCCTCTGTATAATAGTTTGTCTTCATAAAACATTACTAAACATCCGAAAGGGAACAAAACCTCTACGTTTAGATTCAGTCTTTTTACAGTCTTGTTGTCAGGATTGTGGAATGATCACGGGGTCGGTGTTGATATAAAGTCCAAAGCTTTTTGTTCGTCTCTGTTCTAGAGACGCAGCTGCTCCGTGTCGTCCTTCACAGACGGGATCTCGAGGATGGAGACCGGAGCGCCTTCTCTCGTCTGACCCAGAGACGACGCGATGATGTCCACCGCTAGAGAGGCGGTCGCTTCCACGGCCTCACGAGTCGCCCCGAGCGTCGGGTTCACCTCCACCAGGTCCATGGCTGACAGCAGGCCTGAGGACAAGTTAGGTGTGAGAAGTTAGCGAAAAACAGCTCTTTAAAGACAGAGAAACAGGAAGTGAAAGCTGCAGACTCGTCCTGCACTATTCTGACACAGTGTGCATGAGTTAAAAAGTTATATCAGAGAGTGTTTGGAAAAGAGACGCACTGAGAATCAGTTTTTGTTTCTGTGTCACACATTTGAGAATGAGACTAGCAGCTGGTTAGGGAGGAGTAAAAGTGAAGGCGGATTCTTGTGCCCCAAAGTTACCAAAGTAAATATTGGACCAAATGTTCATGGGTCACATATCTTCATAATGTTCTGACACAAAAAAGCATTGGTCAGGTGGATAAATCAGGAGAACATGTACTTCACTTAAAGGGGACCTATCATGCAAAATGCACTTTTGTACGTCTTGTATACATGAATATGTGTCCCCGTTGTTCCAGGGAACTCACCAAGTGTCAGAAAACACAACCCTCTCTATTTCCCTCCATACCCAAATCTCTTAAAAAGGGGCTGCAACGGATCTGATACAGACTGATCCAGATTTGAACACTTCTATGACGTCACAGAAGTGGAGCTACGGCTATTGGGCCAACTCCACCAATCAGGAGGAGACAGCCACGGACATTGCCGTTGGAAAGCGCTGGAGACGCTGTAGTACATATGCCAGGCCTGTAGATGGTGCTGTTCTCACAGAATCAGCCCATGCAAAGACAGTGTTACATTGAGCGAAATGAGGAATGGCTAAAATGCATGATCTGTTTGGTATTTTGAAAAATAAAAAGTATAAATATGTCTTATATAGGTATGGTCCTACACTATATTATTCAAATATAGCATGATAGGTACACTTTAAGACAAATTAGTCTTGATTTGCTTTGGCAACACAAAGTGATTAACGTCAAAACTTTAAGCCAACATCAATTACCGTTTGCTCGGGCCACAGCTAACTAATGTTTTGTAATGCTAAACATGTTACTACTGAATATAAAATGTTAGCAAATTAAAATGTATATGCATTAGACTGCGCCCATTTCTTTGGGACAGGAAGTGTTTACGGCGATAGTAACAAGCTATATTTATTTTATAGAACATCTTTGGTTATATCCTGTGTTGTGTGTGGGGTGTTGGAAAAGCACTTCCTGTGTCCACTTTGTCACGTGTGCACCACCCACTAAAACTCATGTAAATCTGATTCACGATACCTGACCTCTCTTGTCAATAGGTGGCGCTGTGACTGTTCTTCATCAGCCTGTAGATGTCTTCAGGCTTATCCAGAATTTGAAGTTTGGAGCAAGTTTAATATACATCGACTTCCTGTTTTACGGCTGTATGAACCGTTATCACACGGTATGTTTCTCCACAATGCCAACATTGCTGCTTGACACGCTGCAGTGCAAAGCGCCTGAAAGTGCCCCAAAATTGCACAGGAAATTCAAAATCCTGTCCTCCCTGCAGGGTTTCGGGGTATACCTCCAAGAGGCTTCTTTTTAAGTCTGTCTTACATCTGCCTTTCAAATTTCATATAATTACTTGTAAGTTAAAGATGGAGGCTTCAACTTTCAAAACGGTTTCCACGCCCGAGGCCAAAACCAAAATGGATGTGTGCACAGTTGTATGAGTTCTCAAGCATCCCAAACAGGAGTGTGCTTAAAGCAACACATTAAAAGCCTGGGCTCTAATGAGGCCGCCTGCAGCTGTCTGTGTTTCATTTGTATGAATCTGTACCTGTGTTGTGGATTTCCTCTGTGATGTAGATCCCCTCCCTGTAGGTCAAGCCTCCGTTCACCGGCGTTCCTGTGGCCGGAGCCAGAGACGGGTCGAAGGCGTCGATGTCGAAACTCAAGTGGATCGGTCTCTGTTTTCTGTTGGAGGTGAGAGGATTTAAGATTTTTTTTAAAACACACCTGAGCAGGCTTTTAGCAAATAAACAAAGCAGGAATGGAGTAAACAAAGTCACAATAGCAAGGCTGGGAGAAGTCTTCTAACTATCTGGAGTATCCTGAAACTCAAGAACTGTACTTAAAGGTGGGGTAGGTAAGTTTGAGAAACCGGCTCGAGATACACTTTTTGTTATATTCCATGGAATGCTCTTAACATCCCGATAGCAATGAATATCTTAAGTGCTTTGACAAAAAATCCATAAAAAAATGTCATCTGTGGAACCCGTAATACTGTAAAAACTACAACCAATCCGTTTAGCCGGGAAACGGATTGGATTACCGCCCTGTCTGTCAGCCTTCCATCTCGTGCACGCACAAATGTATCTCGTGCCCTCATTGGGCGTGCCGTCATTGGGCGTGCATTGCAGCAGTACTTCAATGACTCGCCAGCAACAGGCGGCCACTTTCACCATGGCAGAGTTAGGTTCAACCAGCGCCTTATAGACTGAGAGTTACGTCATCTCCGTTCACTCCAATGGACCACTTTTTTACAGCAATGGCGGATCGTGGAGCCTCTCAATCGTTCCCCGGAAGTTAGCGCCAAGGCTAGCAGAGCTGTAGAGTTGCAACATAATAGACCGTTCGTGACGGACTTTTAAAGGTAAAAAGAAGCTTAAAGAT